TGACGATAGTTTATTAACTGACGATCTCGTTTCGTTCGAAAAAGGCAGTATAAGCGACGAGGAAAGGGAAACGGTTGAGGACGATGCTGCTATAACACGTATTGACATTTCTGAAGTACCTGAACCTGCAGAAGATGAGCTTGATCACAAAGATGCTCTTTGTGAAGACACACATACTCCTATACAATCTCCGTTAATAGAATCAACGATAAATGCGGTGTCTCCCAGAAAGCAACGACCTCCACCAGTTTCGGTAAAACCTGCGCGATCTCCTACGGTAGAAAAGAGAGACTTTACACCATCGGAAAGTCCGTCGCCCGAAGAAGCGCCGAAGGTGGGATCACGTGAGCTTATCGTACCTGTTATGACTGCATTACAGGAGCGGAGAGCGTCCACTCCGGATTGCTCCACGTCACAATCTTCGACAGATACTAAAGTCCCGGATAGAGCTGAATCCCCGAGTGCAGAAAAGGTGAGCGGAGGTGACGAGAAAAGATCTGAAGCCAAACCCATGACTAGGTCAGCTTATACTACACGGATCTCTGTTAGAGATCGCCTCCAGCAATACGAGAATAACCGTCCCGGAAAAGTCGACTCTGGTCGGAAACAGTCGGCGTCCGAACTTTTTAACCCGAATCCAGTGTCTTCTCGGAAGGAAATGTTCGAGCAGAAGGAACGAGGGCTTTATAAACGTGTTGGCGACATGGGAGTGAGAAAACCGAGAAGTGATTCTGGTAGTGGCTCTGGCTCTTCCAGCGGCAGCCCTAAGTTGTCGAGGAAATTGTTGAATAACAGTGACGATAAAAGCAGCACTTTCGGTGCGAAAAGTCCGCTCAGCGGTAGCCCCAAGTTACCAAGGAGACGGTTGAATGACAACATGGATGGAAACAGTGCGGAGAAAACAAAACCAGTTGAACAGGAAAAACAAGCTGAGCCTCGGCGCCGTGAAAGAAGAGATCAGTCAGGAAAATCTGATCATCCACGAAGCTTGGTTCCAGACAATCTTGAGAAAAGAGACGCTCTGAAACTCGATTTACATGATGGCGAAAAGGAGACTTTGTCTCCGAGAGAAATAGATATTCCTCTTGATCATGAAGAAATGAATGATAGGCAAAGACCGCGAAGAAGCCCGAACTCGAGCCCGAGAAGCAGTCGGACGAATGTCGTCCGTTCTCCGTTTCCCGATGTTAGCAACGATGAAGAACGAGAACCACAGTTCGTGTGATCGTTACTTCGTCGATGTTGTTGTTTCTGTGTAAGTGGTATTGGAAGGAGCTTTGTCAGTAAACTTGATATAACTTAAAAAACTAGTAACTTAACTAGAACTTGATAACTCGTCGCGTCTTGCCAAAAAATAGCGCGAAGATAGAAAAATTATTAAAGTTAAAATTGTACAAAAAGTCAGAAGGTCTAATCGGAAGGTGAAGGTCGAGTGTGGTTGTTTTTTTGGACAAAGCTGAGAGCTCGTTGTGTTAAATTGATGGCTTACTTGAATCTTTTTTGCTTGTTCGTTTTCTCCTTCGTATTCCTAGCTACCTCGCTTACTTCATATGGCTAAGCAATTAACTGTAAGACAGCATCAGACATATTTACATATTTATTTACTCTTAACAGACATTAACCGTCTTCTTTTTAGTGAAAGAAACGTTCTCATTCATGGATTGGCTAAATGTTCTCACGCCACTTTTTTAACCTATGAGGAGTAAGACCGTAATTGGTCTGTTACGTGCAATTCAACTTCGTTTTGACCGTCAGAATGTCTGACTGGCTGAAGTATTAATTTCCGTTGTTTTTCTTTCGACTTTCGAAACTTAACAAAAAGAGCAATTTTTTATTTACGGGTCAGGGTTTGTACGCGTCTTGAAAACCCTTGAATTTCAGGAGTCCGATTTCAAGGCCTTGAAAGTTCTTGAATTTCGCTTTTGGTCCTTGAAAGTCCTTGAGTTTTTATTGAACAAGATCGAAAATGTTCTGCACTATCTGTAAACCCATAGTTATTAGAGGAAACTGGTTATGAAAAGCGGCAAACATCAATGATAAAAACAACAGTGCTGCAGTTTATGTTGGAAGCACCCTGAAAGTGCACAATCCTTTGTTTTCTGTTGGCAAATTGTTACGGAATAAATTAATGCAACGTTTTTATTGGTCAATGCAATCAAAATGATAGGAATTCTTTTGAACGTTGTGCACTTTCAGGTCCACAAAAACAAATAACAAAGGAGTCTGACGGGTTTCATAACCATTCCACTCAATTAACTATGGTAAACCCAAAACGTAGATGTTAACACAAACATTTTTCTTGGTTTTGAGGTAAAATTGTCATTAAAAAAAAAGTCCCTGAAATTTCTAGTTAGGGTCCTGGAAAGTCCTTGAAAAGTCCTTTGTATTTTTGGCCTGAAAAAGTGTACGAACTCTGAGTCGTGTGGAAAAAACGAAGTTATTGCTCTGGCAAATAACAGTAGCAGATGACATAAAAAAAATGAACGAATACAAATTAGCAGGCGGCATACCCGTGTTAGCAAGTGTGGGGTCAGTTTAATAAAGCTTTCACAGTTGTAATTCACAAGTGTAGCTATTGTTTTCAGACTCTAAAACAATGGCTACACTTGTAAGTTATCCTTGTAACAGTTTTATTAAATTGACCGCTGATTTGTAAAAAAGTGGCGCGAGATTTTGAGCCAATCACAAAGCTATGCGATGGAAAAACAAGACGACCGCGAGATGTCTTTAGCCACATTCGAAACCCTTAACATATAACCACTGATATCAGTCTTCTTAAATTTGCTTTGAAAAGAAACGGAAAATCTCCGCGAAAGCCGTCGCCTTAAATATATATTTTTATACAGACATGGTCAGAAGTTTGGTCTATATTGGTTGTATTTTTGAATGGAATTATCAGATTTATATATAAAACTCAAAAGAGAGCTGGATAATAGAGTTGATGAGATGATGAGCTTGGAAAAGATTATGTCGTAGTAGAAGAGATGAATTCGTTTCTGTAGATCCGAGTCTGTGATCTCGCGAATAAGCTGTCTTTAGCTTGAAGTGGGGGCTACGCAAATCTCAGCCGAGACTGGGATTCCAGTTTTAACCTGGTCAAGAAAGAACTAAGGCTATTGCTCTTTTCTGCATACCTCACAAACTCTTCTTCAAAGAGCGAAACGTTTTATTCTATTAAATAGTTGGGTAGAAATAATTTAAGAGTTCTTTTTAACATACTTCATTTCAAGCTATTTACTAGTTATCCGCGAGGTCATGAATATATTACTCTTTGCCTCTTATAACAGAACCCACTAAAGAGTATATTTTTTTAAACGTTTCTTGGCTGTATGTCTCAAACGACTCAGGCGTTTCAAAAACCAGTAAAGAGTAACCTCAGTTGAGTCTTTTTGTGTCCTGAAATAGTTACTTTATCTTTTCCCAAAGGCCTTCCTTATTCCTGGACCAACCGCAGTCTTCGAATAAATTACAGCTGGAATATTAATCAGTGCCGCCCTCCGCTTAGCGCCCCCGCCACTCAACACGGTTGAGGTTTCTTTTTTTTCGGGCCCGCAATAATTTTCTCTTTTAGCATTAAAGGTGAAGAAACTAGATCCAATTCCTGCAAGACTGTCCCAAGGCAAAGAAAGTTGTCGGAAGCCCAATGCTTGGCCTGTGTAAAGCCGCCCCCTTCCCCTCAAACTAAATCGGGAAGAAACACTTTTTGTTTGAGGAGATGGGGCGGTTGTTCACAGGCAACCCAGTACTCTAAACCTTTGAAATCCAGGGTACCTAGCGTATTACTTTAATGCAAAAACCAAGGTCATCCAAGAGAAAACATAGGTCGCCAAGTGGTCACCCAGCATTTCAAAAGCACAGCCCTGCTGACCACCCGCGCGACGACTGGCTCTTTATGACGTCATTTCAGGAATTTCATTCAACGTTCCTGCATTGGTTATTTTTATTGCGCTTTCGATGGATAGGAAAAACCAAAACGTCCTCTTTTACTCTTAAAAAGTAACAAATGAAATTGAAAGGATGTCAAATGGCAAAAAAATTGGCATTGTTGCAATTTACTTGTTAAGAAGTAATAAATGTGCGAACTCAGAACTACTGTGAACCTTTCAGGGGGCCTGGGGCAAGCTCTGACCAGAAAACTTGGATAATCTAGGAGCTCTGAAAGGCTATTTTATGGTGTTTTTCTGCTTTATTTCTTCCCAAAGTTTATTTGTTTGTTAGGAGAGACGAGATGAGAGCCTCATGCTGTCTACGAGTAGTTGCTTGAAGTCGGGATCATGCAGCAGTCTCCATTTCTTCAATAATTTCTTCACTCTTCTGCTTGTAGTCCGCTTTTTCCAGCCAAATAAGGAATTAGGACGAAACCTCAGGCTTACGCCCTCGTTTATCGCGGCTCACGTGCATGGGTTACTCGTGGAGTAGCTTTGCATGCAATAGTATGCCCGTAGTCTAGGTATGAACTAAAAAATTACATGGCTTAAAAGATAGAGGAAGGGGTTACATTACAAATGTCAGCGCACCGTATCATCCTCTCACTGTACTGGGCCATTTGCCATCGCGAAAATTAAAGATATACGGTTAGAGTGATAATCAAAAACCCAAGGGCAGCTCCTTAATGGGTCCTAATGGAGACCAAATATTCAGGAGAGAAGTAATTGCACAAACTAGTAGAATCTTGACAATGCGGTAAATTTAAATAAAGGAGGAACTGAAAAAAAAAAAAGAAAGTAGCTTGAAAATAAAAGGATGAGACTTATAAAAGACAGCTGTCACTTCTTGTAGAAGCCGGAAAAACCAAACCAATCAAAACCCAACGAAAATTAAAAAAACAAAATGGAAACATCCCAAGAAGCAATGCGGGCTTCACCCGCCAAGTTCCCTCCAAGCATGCATCGCGCGTGCAGCCTGACCTTCGAGGAGTGAAATCTGCTGAGTTTCTGGCAGGGAAGAGTTTGCAGCACAATCTTCCATCATCTGTGCTTTTTCCATTCCATCCATTCAAAATGGACGTCGTGGAATATAGCATAGGAGTGAATAATCGCTTTGGTGCGTTAAATTTGGACGAAGAAGATCCAGAGGAATTCCTGCAAAAGCAGGAGAAGAAAGAGGAGTCTGCGAAGAAAGACAAGGCGAAGAAACAGGATAAGAAGGCTGTAAAGCAGCCCGCTAAAGATACGAAGTCCGCCACAAACAAGACAGACATTGTCAACGAGGAGTCCAAGAGGGAAGGTTTGTCGAAAATTATTTGTTCTCGTAACATCGAATGTACAAGTTGTACTGTGACGCCATCTCCCTGTCACATCCACATGTGAAAGTTTTCGTTGGGGTGTTTTCGACTTCTCTGCCCCCTTTTCTTATCTTTTCGAGTTTCCAAGATTTGATATGCTTTCTTCTGTAGGTCATGTTATTGTCCCGTGGACTCTATGTGCGTTAAGTTGTCTGTTAGTTTTGATGTCCTGTAGCGACGAAAATATCTAACAGTTTGCACACAACACTCGCTTTAAAATTGCGAAATTTACTATGACCAGGTGAATGTAAATTAAAACCCCAGGTGGAGTTTTTGTTGATGTTTTCAAGTACACCTTTACATGGAAGCTCGAAAGGAAATATATTTCGCTGTCTTCGTGTGCATATAAACAGTTGCAACACGTGTTTATGGTTGTGTGGAGTGGCGATGGATCTTGTACATTATAAATAAGTTAAGGCTAATTCGGTTTGCTCTCATTCAGCTGGCTTTTCCGCGCTAGTAAACAGCGATAAATGCTCAATAGCTATCGTTACCTTGCAGAACGAAGCGAAAGCAGACGAGGTGGCCGTGGAAAAAATGATGTCAAGAGAGAAAACGAGAAAAATACTCGTATGACCAATGGTCCCAGCGAAAGACGAGATCGTGGTGAAAATGCGCCCAGAGAAAGGCGAGGCGGTGGTTTTGGAGGTGGTTTCCGTAGGAGAGAGGGATCGCAGGGAGACCCCGATTCCCCAGACAAGGAAGGAGCTGAAAGGGAAAGAGGGGGATTTGAAAGGGGAAGAGGTGGTCGAGGAATGCGAGGTGGCGGAGGACGAGGACGCGGTGGATTTGGCGGTCCGAGAGGTGGTGGTGGAGGAGGATTTGGCGACCGTGGTGGAAGGAAGCGAGAATTTGAAAGAAGAAGTGGAAGTGATCGATCGTAAGTGCTCAATGTGCCTATTTCACCATTTACTCTGACAGTATCCTGTCTGTCCTAATTTTAATGTGTATTCTTGTTAAACCCTTCTCACAGGTTATTCACATGCACTTTTTAAGTCACTTCTGAATTTAACACTCTTCCTATTTAATATTCTGTAAAATCACTATGGATAGAGAATGTTTCCGATGCGCAGTCAAAGATGCGATATGCAGAAGTATTAGCAGCTAGAGAGAGAAACTATTTGAGCTTTGGTTTTATTAACTGTCAAATGACAGTAGTAAACAATATTTTTGTTCATAACAGTGCATGAGAACATAAAACAAGCAGTCTGCAACTGTTTTACTGGTCAAATTTAATTTTGCCATTGTTTTTATGGTTTGCATTTTAACATGTCTGCATTTGTGGTTATGTGTTGACAAAATGTTGATAGATTTTAAAATTTGAATGAGCATGTTACCTAAGGTGTTGAGTGTTACTTGGAATTTAAAGCCATCTTGCCCGAATTAACAGTGTTATTAACAGATTTAGTGTAAATGGGCTGAGTGTTTTGTGGAGACTGTTTATGAATCACTGTGCTCTGATTAATTTAAAACATAAGTTATGCTAATCCAAAAGCCTAAATGTGCCAAATGTTGGTGTATTTTATACTAAATTTTTACCATGATTCCAAAGAATCCAGTGTAACCACTTGAATTGTTCGGTAATCAAACTTTATAGGTAAACAAACACAATTGAGCCAAAAAATATACATGAGAGTTTGACTGAGTTAGTTTTCCAAACTCAATCAAACAACAGTTCTAAACCAACACTCAAAATAGATGAGGATTTTGAAAAATCCTTTTAGCGTGCAAGAATCTGGAAAGCAGCAAGTAAGTCACCGGGAAATCAGCAAAGAACCAAAAAGAATCAGATGAAACAAACACTAGATTGACTGTACAAATGTGGAGGATTTCTGAACGTGCTTGTGCATTATTATTAACGGTGACGTTACCTACAAGGGATGCTGTAAAGTTTAAAATGCATTTAATCAAAGCATAACATTCACTCTGTGACTGAGTATGTTGATTAAAGGGATTAAAGGATAAAGTTGTATGGCAATATAGCCTTGTTCTTCCCACTCCAAAAAATACACTACACTGATCTGCTACAACCACTTTCGGAATATACTCAGTCGTAAGACACCTTAGAAAAAGCAAACATTCAACCAAACACGTGCAATTTTCCTGTATAACGTAAAATTTTAAGGTGAAGGGATATGAACTGGCAGTCTGTAGAAAAAATTCTCTGTGGGATTTCCTGTATTCTTATTTTTACTGTCGTTCTCCTTGTGTTCCATGATCACCATCTTGAATATAAACTTCTCTGGTGAATGATAAACTTCTAGTAAATAACTTGATTCTTCTTCTAAGTTTCTTGTGAACAAAGGAAAAGTGAAACATTAGATCAAGAGTCACTTCTCCGCTGCACCCCTTCAACAGACCATTCTGTTTTTTTTGTTTGTTTTTTTTTTCAACTTTTGACATGAACCAGCTAGCTAAAATCCCATTTATATGGCTAGTGCAGTCCGTCAGAAGAATTGCCAAGTGTGAGAGTGAAGTGTGTCGAAAACTGGCAGAGACATGGTGCCAAAGTCGAGGAATGTTTGCTGAGACTTTTGTATAGTTAGGGTAAAGGGGGCAGGGGTTTAATTTTGTGTCCCCCAGCAAGCATACAAATGCGTCTGCAAAATCTCCCAACTTTTTCTAGCAGAGCTACATCTTTGCTCCTTTCTGGCACTTCTCTCTTGAACTTGGCAAGGTTAAACTTTCCACTTACATATTCTTCAATGTACTTATGCAAGAGACTGGAAGAGTTCTTTACGTTTTTTTGTTATTTTAACTGTCAAGGTTGAAGCCATTATTTAACTATCCCTTTCCTCCATTTGACACATTCCTGTTTTGTAAAAGAAATATGTCCTCTTCTTGTGGTCTAGGGACCCCCGACTGGACAATAATTCAAGTCGTGGGGATAGAAGGTTGGACAAACATTCTAACTTAGCTCCTATTTAACTATAAAGTCATTCCTAGAAATTAAATCATGAGCTTTGTGTGTGTATTTTTTCTGCAAGCTGTGTTTTTCTGTGAAGTGTAAATCAGCCATCTTTAAATCTTTGTTAAATGCATGTAAAATTTTTATTGTAAGCTTTTGCTACTGGGAAATTAAGAGCTTTTTTAACCGCCAGTTTCCCACTCATCAATTTTGTCAACCAGTTTGCCATAAGCTATAGTGTATTATTTAGTTGGAACCAATACTTTCAACCAAATGTTTTAGGACGTAAAAGAAAATAAGCAAACTTATTTTTATGCAATGAATCACCCTTCTTACAGGTAAATCTTTATTCCTAGGACATCTGATGCCTGTGAAAAATGGTGCCAAGTTTCTGTTTCTCTTGTGCTAATAATAGTAACATACATGTTAATTGTAACCTCAGAACTTCCTTTTTGATGAATGCTAATTCATGGCTAACAAACTGCACTCCAAATAGTACTTAAATTGAAATACATAATTACAAAAATATTTTCCATGTTTCCTATTTAGTTGATAAAAACTGGATGTGCCATTTATGTCCCATTCATTTAAGACTGAAATATGAAGATTTTTGAATTACAATCCAATGGAAAATTAATCCCTTTGATGTTTGTTGGTGTGGTTGTCTTACTAGTTGCCTACTTTAGTTGGTGGTGAAGCCTTTTAGTTTGTTAGGCTTAAGGTGCAAGCCAAAGCTATGTATTTTTTGTAGCCACATCTATGATATCTTCTACTGAGTTACATCCTCTTATGTTTCAAGTAATCAACTTCATATTTTCCCATGTTTTCTGACAGTTCTGTGAAGGCCCAAGATAAGCGTGAAGGAGGTGGCCAGTACAACTGGGGTAATCCTACAGAGGGGTAAGTTATAGTCTACTTTTATAGTCTTCTTTTATATCTTTCATTAAGTAATGATCTGGGTGAAGTGGAAAGCATTTTCTTTTGTTACGTGTCAATGTGCTTTCCCCACATATAGGAATGTTTTCATTTTCACACAGAGAATGCATAAACTTAAAGAAAGGCCAGTTATGCAATAAAATGTATAAGACCCCATTTTGAAACGGTGTTTTTTTGTGTGTTCAAAAATTTTGACCAATTGTAGGATTTGCAAGCCAAGAAAGTTTACGATAATATTTTACATGTTCCCGACATAGGATTTCTGTGTTATTCAGACTGAGACAAGATTTTGTTATATGGAAGTTGGTTGAAAAAGGATCAATTTATATATACAGCTATTTCGAGAAAGGTTGTCGGAAAATTGTGCACGCGACAGTCCGGAAAGGTAATATGGGATATGTGCAATACACTGTTCCTGACATTGTAGCTGTCGAACCTATTTTTGTTGCTTTCCTTAAGCACGCACAGACGTATGTCCATGGCCTCGCGTGCCATTCTTTCAACTCAAAACCACCCTCAATACCTTTTGGGGTTGTCGCATGCAGTTCATCCGACAACCTTTCTCAAAATAGCTGTATACTGTTTTGTGAAGTTTTCTTAACTTTTGCTGTTTAAGCCAGTCAGAAGTATAAGGCAGACAATAGTAAAGTTAGCACCTTTTTGCACTCAAAATATTCAAAGCCGTTGTTGCTTTCCTTCTTATCTGGACCGTTACTTAATAATACAGTTATTACTAACATTGTTCGTTTCGGATTGGATGAGAGCTGTGCAACAAAATTGTCCTGACATGTAGAAGTTTTTAAGGGTGATGTTAACAACATGTACGATTCTTTGATAATGGAGAGCATTTTGTTTTATAATACTCTGTATTATCACGTGAATCAAATTAATCCACAGAAAATAAATTGTCTTGGAAGTATAAGTACCAAGACCCCCTATGATTGTTGGTTAACACCTAATCATCAGTCTTCAGTTCAAATTAAAGCTTGTTCATAGTAATTTGGATTCCCAGATGATCTCCTATTCCCAATGCCATCCAGTAAATGGTTTGTTGTTTTGTGATTTCAGTGAAGAGGCAGAGGTTTTTCAGCAGCCGGAGGTGGCTGACTGGGCTGAAGCATCTCCTGATCCTGATGCTGTCAAGGAATCTCAAGATGAGTAAGTTTTAGTGCTGCTGATAATGTTGATTCAAATAAGACTGATGTACTTTGGCCTGGATACCCTCACAGCTCTTAAGTGCTTGGTTTTGTTTACTAGAGACTAGTCTGAAATTTCTCCATGCTTTGTTCTCGTGCTTCAATTTAACGTCTGATGACAAGTGCATGGTGTAACAGTTTTCTGTACACAGAAGAAGGGTTATGCACCTGAAACTCTTGCTTCTTTAAAATATCAATTCAATCTGGAAAGCACAAATACAGTTGATTCTCTCTTAATGGACGCTTGTCTATAATACAGACACCTTCAGACACCTAAAGTTGATGCCTGTCTTTCTTTACATCCTTTGTTTGACTCTCTATAAGACACAAATCACTCTTAGATTAGCCTCTCACATAGGCATTTTAGGGGAGCTCATATTTGGTACCTCCCCAAAAAGGCAAAAAGTAAGATTTAGTCAGATTTTAGAATTCTCCGTGCACTGAATAACTTTCGCAAAGAAAGAAAAGGAAGAAAATGGTAACTCTAGGGTCACGAATTTACATAACCACGAGTTTATGAGTTGTGTTTAGCCTGTCAACACTTTATTTCAAAACTGTTGATTGGTCACTTACCACGCAAATAAAACAATAGGAAAGGTAGTTTGTTCTCGGTTGAGCAGGCGTTTGTGGGGAAGGACGAAATACGAGCTCCCCTGAAAACATCTGCGTGGGAGGCTACTCTTAGGTGGATACTTAGTGTCAGTCCCAAAGGTGACCCTAAAAGACAGAGTTGACTGTAATTTCAAATGAGCTCTTGAGAGCTCCTAAGTGGCTCAGACTGGTTTCGTGTAAACTTGCATTTCTATGGATCAAGGTTATCCGGAGCTAAGGTCGTACCAGCTTCATGTAATCATTCGTTCTTTGATTTGAATTGTTTCAGGTCCCATGGTGAAGATAAAGAGAATGAAGAAGTTAAAGAGGATGAACAACCCAAAGAAATGACTCTGGATGAGTGGAAAAAGCTCCAAGAAAATGAGCGAGCTAAAAGCACTTTTGAGACACGCAAAGCTGGTGAAGGGGAAAAGAAAGGCATGTGGAAAGACACAAAAGTCTTCAAGAGAGATGAAGAAGACGAGGAACAGTTTGCCTCTAGAAGAGTGAGTAACAAGTAGTGTTGAGTTTGAATTAGGCCCTGTTCACACTATGACAAAAAAATAGAGTTTGGTGCGAAAAATTGGAAACTTAATTTTGTTATGACCAATTTTTTGTCTTTGCAGCTGTCTTTGCATCTGAGACACTGAAAATCTTTTCGTATATTTTGAATGACAAAAAATTGTAGACCTCGAAATTTTCTCAACAGCATCTTTGAAGTTTGGTGACAGATGAGAAAATTTTGGTAGGTGAAAGAAGTCGTTTTATTTGCACAAGAGATGGCTTCCCGTTGACAGATTTTCTGCAAAATAAACAAAATTTTGTGTGTAGTGAAAAGGGTGGAATCCGCACTTGCTTAAAAGAATAAAGACCCCTGGGTGACTGGGAAAGCTGACGTTTTTTGTACAAATCTTATGCCTGGGCACCCTGGATTTCACAGGTTCAGAGGGCAGGGCGACCCTGTGCTCTGTTGGAGGCTGCAACCCTTGAATTTGTCTTATAGCACAGCCCTGAACCTGATTTACATTTTGCTCCTTTAAGGTCATCGAGGAAAAAATCAAGACATCTGGCCGTGTAAAACAAATTGTTGACATCCGAATGGAGTTCAGGGGCTCAACTGATACACGAAGGGGTGGTCGTGGTGGTCGTGGCGGTAGGGGTGACAGAGGAGGCCGAGGTGGCCGTGGAAGAGGTCGCGGTGGATTTGGTGGTCGTGCAGACAGCGACAAAAGTGGGGATAATTTTGCCTTAAATAATGAAGAATTCCCATCTCTTGGGTAACAAGTTGCAAGCTGCAAAGCATGCTGTGTTTAGAAGGACTTGATGCTGCATATATATTCAAAGAACCAGGAAAAAATTACATGGATTTTGAGAAAGACAATTTTTCCATGAATCGTTCAACAGTTGCTTGTACTGTACCTCTGTGTTAGCTGAGGAAAAGACCAGGACAAATAAAAATAATGAACAAGGGTCAATGAATAATCGCACACGAAGAAGGGTGTGTCATAAGTTAGTATTTTTCGTCTAACGTTTGTCTTATTTGTCCACTGCGGTGAAATGATTATTATGTTTAGTCAGGGATGGAGTTCAGTAAGTTAATAGAGTTGTGGGTTTTAAAAGTAAGCAGTACAGGATACGTTTTTTTCAAGTAACGGGTAATTTTCTTTGTCTATAAATCTCTAATCTTGGAAGGCCATTCTGAAAAAAAAAAAGAAGGTAAAACAGAAAATGATTTGTACTGAACGCTGTGATATTAACCATCAAACTCCCCTGATTGGCTGCCATGTATATCAGTGTCTATAGGATAAGATTGTTTTAACACTTAAATCGTCAATATCCAAATACAAATTCTTCAGCCTGATCTCCATACATTTCCATAAAGAATTGGTTAAGAGATCAAAGTTCTGCCCATCAGGTGATCATTTCATTAATTCTCACAGCGTTTTCTTTTGATTATGCATTGACACTGTTGGGAGAAAACTTACTTTGGTCACTCTTGGGACTTCAAGAGTTAACATGGAGACAGTAAAGTCTTGGTGATTGTTTTCTTTATTGTCATGATGCCTTTCCCAAAGATACCGTCATTTATTATATAAACACCAATGAAATACCAGGTGAGCTTTCGTGCAAAAACCAGTTATCTTCACACTTGAAAATATCATGTTATTTTCACATGTGAAATGATCACTGTTGATATGGCTACATAATAACTCGCGCCTTTCCCAGCGCTTACTCGTGAAATATTTACACTCGAAGAGAAATTTCGTATCTCTGCGCGGTCATGTAATATCCTCCATCTTTTCACTCCCACGCCTATTACTTGTCACTCTCGCTCTTACATCTGACAGCAAAATCCTGACCTTGAATACCGTACAAATGAAACCTTTTGGCAGAAATTTGCTAATAGTACTATTTGATTGTTTAGACGTTACAAAAGAAAGTTATTTTTTGTGGACTTTTTTACTTTTGTCACAAGGATACACAAGTTTAAAGTGGTGGTTGCAAATATAAAGAGTACTGCGGTATTTTCAGGAAAGGTTGATATCTCCCAAGTTTTACTGTACCCATTTTGTCAGCTTGATGATGATAAGCGAAGTGTTTTTCAAGTAGTGGTGTCTGTTTATCAATGGTCATTGTTCTTTATTTAATCACAGCTCATTTGCATTTATCATCTCTTTCATTTCTATTTGTATATTTCGCCAAGGTTGAGAAATTTGCTAAGACAGTCTCCCTTGATTTTTTGTTTCCTGTACAATATTGTTTACTTTCCAAAAAAATCCCCAGCCCATTTTTATTCTCTATTATTAACGATAGATTTTCCCAGGTTCATTAACCGGGGAAAAAAATAAAACAAGCAAGAAAGCATGAAAGTGTTCATTGTGTGCTTTTCATAGGAAATCGGGTAAGTCCCATAGTCCTATATACGAGCCTTTGCCTTTCATTAGGGTTTACATTTCCCTCTGATTCTTGAACTGGACCTCATAATCATGTTTTGTTCCTAAAGAGGGGGAAAAATCCGCTTTGTACATTGCTTTAACACTGCATCACAATTGAAGCGCTTTGTACTTGGTTAAATGCGCTATCCTTGTGAAAGCTGCAATATGTTACGAGCAGGCTGTTTAGGGAAGCGAGCCCTGAAGGAACGCGCGAGCTTGGAGCGGTCTTTCATTTTCCCTCCCTCTCTCTCGCACGTTTCCGTTGCGTGGCGGTCACGCGTGACTCGTTACGATATGCCCCAAATGGAAAGCTCCTTCCGCAGGCTCTTAGCAAGCAAGCTGTTGGCATCGTCAGGAACAGAGTCGCAGACTTCTCTTTGCCTACACTCAGCGGTTCAACCTCATTGTAAATTTAAGGGAGTACCTCCCAGGGTTAATAAAAAATTACAACTTGTACGGAAGTGTCAATCAAGCTTGTCACTGAGTTTTCCCTTATTACATCTAAACTAATTAAGTTCCTTGGTGTATTTGCTTATGTCCCGTCAGGCAGAAATTTGTTTTCCTTTAAATTAAAAGTTGGACGTAAAAACATTCGTGATCAAACTACACCTGACGAAGACTGCTTTTTGCATGTTGGATGAAACCTGCGGGTATCCTTTTAATTGTAATGTTTGTAGATTAACTTTGTAAGTTATTTTTCGAATCGAAAGTGCAAGACTGCAAACCTCGAAATTCAGAGGAGGAGAGTTGCGTGACCGCACTAAAAGAAGTAGCGTAGCAGTCTAAAAACCCCTGTTATAACTGTTTTCAAGGCAAAGGACTGTTGGATCATTCATTAGAGTCTGGAAATGGGCTGTCACAGTGATAGTAAATGTGGTGGAACAGTGGCACAGTGTAGCTGATAGTCTGACGTGTGGTAGAACAGTGAAACAGTGTAACGGTGACAGTAAAGTGTAGTGGAACAGTACGTGGCACAGTGTAACAGTGACAGTAAAATGTGGTGGCACACTGTAACAGTGATAGTAAAGTGTGGTAGAACAGTGTAACGGTGGCAGTAAAGTGTAGTGGAACAGTGGCACAGTGTAACAGTGACAGTAAAGTGTGGTGGCACAGTGTAACAGTGATAGTAAAGTGTGGTAGAACAAAACAGTGTAACAATGACAGCTTAGTGTGGTGGAACAGTGACACAGTGTAACAGTGACAGTAATGCGTGGTAGAACAGTGGAACAGTGACAGCAAAGTGTGGTGGAACAGTGGCACAGTGTAACAGTGTTAGTAAAGTGTGGTGGAACAGTGAAACAGTGTAACAGTGACAGTAAAGTGTGGTGGAACAGTGACACAGAGTAACAGTGACAGTAAAGTGTGGTGGCACAGTGTAACAGTGATAGTAAAGTGTTGTAGAACAAAACAGAGTAACGATGACAGCTAAGTGTGGTGGAACAGTGACACAGTGTAACAGTGACAGTAATGTGTGGTAGAACAGTGTTACAGTGACAGTAAAGTGTGGTGGCACATTGTAACAGTGATAGTAAAGTGTGGTGGAACAGTGACACAGTGTAACAGTGACAGTAAAGTGTGGCGGAACAGTGCTACTATTCATGGTGGATTTTAAGGTAAAGATAAACATTAACAAATTGATGATTCCGGTTTACCAAACTTAGCGAATCCCTGTTCTCGGGTATCAGTCGAATCCCATAGCCCGTATCCCGATAAGATTTCCCGAGTCCCGCACTGTATTTTTGTCAAATCCCGGAGACCTGAATCATGTACTCAGTACTGTTTTGTTTCGCTCTGAGAGTGTTATCATCCTCCCCCATCTGCATATACCGTAGATTCCCGGGGGGGGGGGGGGGGGACGCCCATTTTTGGGCTTTTAGGGTATTGGGCGCGTGGAGGGGTGTGGTTTTTAAGGTGTTTTTTTTGGGTTGGGGGGTTAAAAACAGAGGGTTTGGGTCTGAGAAAGGGTATCATTTTTTCGGAAACTGTTGAATTGTTTGAAAGTTTTTTTTTACTGCCATATATGGGCTATATAGGTATGTGCCGCTGTGAAGGGTATGGTTTTCAAGCAGTTTACTCTAGGATAGGGTGTATAAATCAGAGCGTTTGGGTCTAGAATAGGGTATCATTTTTCAGGAAACTGGTCAATTGGTTGAAGATTTTATCTAGACTAGGTAAACAGCTACTCTAGGATAGGGGGATTTGGGGAGTTTACCCTAGTATAGGGTGGCAAAATTCAGCTGAACGAGCTCTGGTAAGGGTTCCAGGGTCCCAGCGGCACATCCCCACCCAGAAATTCCTAAAGTAGCCCCCCGGGTGTAGATTCTTCATGGCATACCTGCGAAACCCTGTGTCGAAATGCTGCTAACTAAATTTTAAATCTTTTCCTTCTTAATTTAATGTTAGCGTAATAACTGCACATAGTTTCTGCTGACTAATAAATGTAGATGTAGATGTAGATACACGTCCCAACCTCATTCAGTTACCGGCACTTCGCCAATATTTCTTTGTTGTCGTGAAAACCGGCCGGAAAGTGAGGAAAATGACGTCATTATTCGTTTTGTATTGATCCAAGCATTCTGCTCTCCGAAGCAGAAGTTTTGGAATATATTATACTTTAATTTCGGGATTGGAAAAATAGGTCAGTCGGACAGATACTTCAGATTATTCTATGTATTCCAGTTCCTATTTGAGAATAAGGTAAGTGGAGTGCTCCCTGAAAACACAACAAAGCACAGATCAGTTGTAACAACTGGTAGCTTCCATATCGCAGCAGGCGCTTGTAATCAGGCGTAAGTAAGAACGGGGTGCGCGAGTTTGGTTCGAGGACAAGTAAAATATATATACGTATATTTTTGCACTTCAGTACCATTTTCTTTTAAGGTCATTTGTCGTTGTTGAAAACTGACAACCCCGGGACTATCATTTCAAGATTCAAGAGCCTTACAGTGTGAAAAGCAGAAACAAAGATTGGCAAAAAAATGATTACCAAATTCTTGGCATGAAAGAGTTGAATAAACCTGAAAAAATGGCTTTGGTAAAACCAGCAACCAATTAAAATTTTGGCAAATACAGCAACCCCCCGCCTTAGGGAGACAAATTAGTCTTTGTTAATAAACACTTCATGACAAAAAAATAACATATAATTTGTTGGTAATTATGGCAAAAAGGAGACTGAACTGTTAATTGTTGTTCACTCTCAGGTATCATCTCGCCATAAAATTCCGGCAATTATTGTTTGTGGTTTATAGTTTGTTTATGATCGAGCTTTTCAATCTTTCTCGTGAAGTTTGAACATCTTCAACACATTCTAACAAGCCAAAACAAACCGTTTAATTGTTCCCGTGC